ATGTTTAAATCAGGAGTAAACAACTTTACCGGGAGTTCTTCATTGAGATGACCTTGTGCCTGGTGTTGGTCTAGTCCCCAAGCATAAGCCAGAGTGCTTTTTTTTTTTTTTACTCTTGCTACATGTTTGCGCGCATGCACATACACACACCATCTGCTCGCAGCCGTAGACCGAGCCAGGCCCTGTCCCAGCGTCCTGCAGGTGCCTCGCTAATGTCTAATCAACGTCACCCAAAAACTGGCACCAGACGGCAGTTTGGGGCGAAGGCATGCTTGTGAGGTTTTCAGCTCCTGAGTATTGGCTAAAGTGGCTGAATTGATAGAATAAATAACGGGAGAATAACAGAGTTTTATAGAATTTGTCCATGCATATGCATGTGGAAACCTAGTTACATTTTGGATTGTCTTGCTACAATATTTGGTTAAACTATTTGGGTTGGTTACAGTTGTAGCATGGCAAAGCAAGTTTATTTATAGCACATTTCATACTCAATGGCAATTCAAAGTGTTTTACATTTTTAAAAAAAAGTATCATAAAATAAACTAGGGTGGCTCAGTGGGGAGCGCTGTCGCCTCACAGCTAGAAGGTCCCTGGTTTGAGCCTTAGCTAGGAATAGTTTGTTCTCCCCGTTAGCGTGGGTTTCCTCTGGGTGCTCCGGTTTCCCTCACAGTCCAAAGACATGCGTTATAGGTGAATTGGGTGAGCTTAAAATCGTGTATGTGTGTAAAGGAGATTGTATGGATGTTTGCCAGTGTTGGGTTGCATTCTGGAAGGGCATTCACTGCGTAAAACATATGCTGGATAAGTTGGCGATTCATTCTGCGGTAGCGACCCCTGATTAATAAAGGGACTAAACTGAAAAAAAAATTAATAAATCAATAATCACAAACTAAGCATAAGGAATAAAAACAACAAATAACCTAAACTATTAAAAACTGATTTAAAATGTTATATAACAGTGTTAAATGTTAAAAGAGGAGAAAGTTACATAACTAAGGTTTTACAATCATAAATAATATTAATAGAGATTTAAAACAAGTATGCATTGAATTGGTCAAGTTTGAAACTTGTATTTTATTAGATTTTTTATTTATTTGTAAATTAGATTTTTGAACAAAATTTAGTAGAGTTTTTTTACTGTTTTGGAACTGTGGGTATAATGTACACATTACATTTCAAAATTGTCAGCAATTTCACCTTTTTTAAACTTTTAATGCAGTTTATTTCTTAGATTTTTAGTTAGAAGAAACTGTCAAAACTTTAAGATAAACTCTTTTTTGAGTATGAATAACAAATACTAAGTTATTAACTATTATTTTGTTAATGTAAGTAATTTTCACATCCTTTCTTTGTTAGTTCATACAGTTTCATTTTATAATACTTACATTTACATGATTAAAATCCAAAGTTATATTTGCATTTGTTGAAACACTATCACAATGATTAAATGCTTTACAAGTATCTGCCATGTTAACTAATGTATTTGTGTCCTTATTATTTAACAAAAGGAAAGAAAACCCTATTGGTGCATCCTCAATTCTTATTTGTAGCAATTTGTATTCTAAATCGTTGTTCAAGAATCCTGTTTGACATATTAAGAAATGTTTTTGAGCACCAAGTGAAAAAATTAAGTTTTATTCCTGAACATTAAACTTTACAGACACAGAAAAAAATGCCTTAAAATATATGAATATATTAAAAAAGTGTTTTTTTAATCTATAAAAATATTTTACAATTTACTGTTTTATTGGATTTTCCATCCTGTAATTGCAGCCTTAGTGAGTATAATTTGTAGTGTATGTACATAGATAAATATCAGTGGCAGTTATCTATATGTAAATAAGCAATTTATAA